ATTTCATTGTGTACATGTACCACATCTTTCTTTATCCATCGATAGGCATTTAGATTGATTCCTTATCTTTGTTGCAAATAGCGCTGCAGATAAACATTGGCTTATGTGCAGATATTTCTTCAATATGCTGATTTCCTTTCTTTTGGATATATACTCAGCAGTGGGATTGTTGGATCATATGGTAGACCTGTGTTTAGTTTTTTGAGGAACCTGAATGTTCTCGGTGCCTTTGTTGAAAACCAGTTGGCTATAAATAGGTGGATTTATTTCTGTATTCTGTATTTTGTTCCATTGGTCTGTATGTCTGTTTTATGCCAGTACCATGGTGTTTTGGCTACTGTAACTTTGTACTATATTTTGAAGACAGATCGTGTGATGCCTCCTAGCTATTGTTATTTTCATGTCTAATTAATATAGCCATTGAATATCTTATAAGCAGTTTTATCTGGCACAAGAGTACTTCTTAGTTTCTTTGCTCAGTCATGCTTTTCCTGGTTTATATTTGTCGATGTTTTAACGATGGTTCTTTATCCAAAATAAATGTGTTATGTGGTTTTTCCACTCAAACTTCCTGACATTTTTAGTATCATCCTTAGTTTATTAAAATTCTTTCATAAACAGTCTGTAGTAGAAGCATCAGATCTTATGGTACTAGGTTATAGAGACACTTCCCCCTAGATCCTCCGTAAGAACTTAAGTCATTTTATTTGGAGGACAACTTGTGGAACTTCCCTCAGCTTAGTGAATACCACTGCAATTATCAACACTACAATTTATCTCTTTCCTTTGTACTCCTACCCTATGGAATTAAGGTACAGTAGTTATTGTAAGAATCCAAGCACAGTGGATAATTTCTTTTTGGCTGCCAAGCAGATGAATTCCATGTTTATATTAGGGGAATTCTCTACCTCACTTTTTATTTTATTTTATGGGAAACAGTGTCACTACTCGCATGCCCCCCCACCCACAACCTATACCCAGACAGAATAGGGAGAAATAAGTGTACTGTTCAAGCTTGCTTATCTCTAGATTTGAGGATAAAAATTACAGTGGTATGGAGTCAGAGTGGTTCTGCTGGTATGGGTAGGAGGAGAGTGGTGAGTACAGACATAGTAGCCATAATTTGCTGCTCTAAACTCTAGAGTTTCTCTCATTGGTACCACATTCTGAATTTTGACTTGAAAATAAATCCCTTATGTTATTTGGTTGCTGGTTGCGATTTAAAAAGAAATTTGTTTTTGTTTCTTTTATTAAAATTAGGTAAGAGTCTGTAATCTAGCTGAATGCTCTTATATCCCAAGACTCTGACAACTGCAGCTATCCTCAGTTCCTTATTTTGTAGATTTCTGTGCTGAGAGACTTTGCTTTCTCTTAACTATCCTAAGGGCGCCGTAGTATTTTATGGTGGGAACCAAGTGATGGGGCCCTTCACCATGGTCCCTCTTCAGTCAAAAGCCTTCCAGTCACCTTCTTTACTCTTTTTTATTGTCAGTTTATACTCTGTAGCCACTCTTGAAATCTATGGTTTTAAAGAGGTCAAAGCCATCATCTGTGAGCTGGATGATAATTCCTTGATGGTAAAAATTCACATCTGTAATCTCTGTTTAGCATAATATCTTAGTCGAATGAGTTCATTTAACTTTTAAGTTACATTCTTAAAACCTAAGAGTTAGGAGAAATTTTCCTTATTATCTGTTGAAATCAACTTTAGTCCAGTTAATGGCATTGAAGTATTTTAAAAAAATATAAGTTCACAGAGTATTCATGATTTACTTACTAGTTTGTTTCTTATTTTTCCTGATTTTTCTGATTATCAAAACCATGTCTGTTCATTGTGGGAAAATTTGGTAAGTAAAGAGAAGTATTTTAAAAAACAGTGTTGGTCCCTAAATTGATCTGCAGATTCAGTGCAATCCCTATCAAAATTCTTACTGCTTTTTTTGTAGAAATTGACAAGATGATTTTGAAGTTCACTTGGAAATGCAAGGGACTCTAGCCAAAAAAATCTTGAAAAAGAACAGAGTTGGTAGATTCAAATTTTCTGATTTCAAAACTTAATACAAGGCTATTGTAATCAAGATGGTGTGGTACAAGCATAGAGATAGGCATACAGGTCAATGGAATAGAATTGAGAATCCAGAAATACACTGTAATACTTATGGTCAATTGATTTTTGACAGAGGTACCAAGACAATGTAATGGTAGGAGAGAAGAAGTTTTTCAACAAATGGTTCTGGGACAACTTGATATCCACATGCAAAAGAATGAATTTAGAGCCCTCTTGCACACCAAAATTAACAAAAATGGATCAAAGACTTTCATGTAGGAGCAAAAACTATAAAACTCTTAGAAGACAATGACTACATAGACCTTGGATTAGTCAGTGCTTTCCTAGATAGGACATCAAAAGCATAAGCAATCAAAGAAAAAAATCATAAATTTGGCTCCCTTAAGATTAGAAACTTTTGTGTTTCAAAGGACATTTTTAAGACAATAAAAGGATGCCCACAAAATGGGAGAAAATATTTGCAAATCATATATCTGACAAGTAATATCCAGAATATATAAAGAATTCTTACATATTACAATTCAGTAATAGACAGTCTGACTTTAAAAAATGGGCAAAGGACATGAATAGGTATTTCTCAAAAAAAAATAGACAAATGGCTAATAAGCACATGAAAAATGCTCAACATTATTAGTCATTAGGAAAATGCAAATCAAAGTTGCGTGATAGACCACATTGCTAGGATGACCGTAATAAAAACAATAGACAATAAAAGTGTTGGTGAGGATGTAGAGAAATCAGAACTTTATATATTGTTGGTGGGAATGTAAGTTGGTACAACTGCTTTGGAAAACAGTTTAGCAATTTCACTGGTGGTTGAACACAGTTACTATATGAACCAGCAACTCCACTCTTAGATACCATATGGGTTTTCTTTGGACCTGATTAAGACATTCTAGAGTTTTTGATAGTGGTGATGGTTTTGATAGTGGTGATACAACCTTGTGAATATACTAAAAACCACTGAATTGTACACTTTAAAAGGGTGAATTTTATGGTATGTGAATTATATCTCAATTAAAAAGATAATAAACAGAAGAGAAGTCACCTCAGAGCCTGCTGCCCAAGAATAACCATAGCTCATGTCAATTGAGAATTTTACAAAATGCTAATTAGTGCTAGGCACCTAAACCCTTTAGATACCTTCTTTATTCTTCACAGTAGCTTTATGAATCCTCTGTCAGAGCTGGGACTCCTGACTCCTTGCTCAGTGTTCTTTCTACTAATTCACTGTCCCTGTTTTACAAAGAATATTGGGGAAAGAGAGACCATGCTAAGTTGGAATATCATTAAAATACCATTTTACAAAGTTAGGTGATTTACTCAAACACACAATTAACCAAAAAATATTTATGGTTTGGTTCAGTTAACATTCAGCACTCAAGCTTAAAGGAAAACAAAATCTTGAGAAATGAGTTAAATCTCTCTAGTTGTTTAGTGTCAAGGAGTTTATGGTAATTTTTTTCAAAGATTGTAATAAAAACAAGTAAAATTAAAAACTTCCCTTAAGTGTCCATTCATCTTGTTCTATTTTATTTTAACACTGAAGTAGAAAAGCTGGTTGGATTTTGTTCTCACTAAATATGCCATAATCCATTGCTATTCTGTGAAATCAGAGTGTTTAAAGTAGATGCATCAAAAAAACACTTGAGGCCAGGCGTGATGGCTCACGCCTGTAATCCTGGCACTCTGGGAGGCCGAGGTGGGAGCGAGGTCAGGAGTTCGAGATCAGCCTGAGCAAGAGCGAGACGCTGTCTCTACTAAAAATAGAAAGAAATTAATTAGTCAACTAAAAAGATATAGAAAAAATTAGTGGGGCATTGTGGTGCATGCCTGTAGTCCCAGGTATTCGGGAGGCTGAGGCAGAAGGATTGCTTGAGCCCAGGGGTTCAAGGTTGCTGTGAGCTAGGCTGACACCACAGCACTCTAGCCCAGGAAACAGAGTGAGACTGTCTCAAAAAAAAAAAAAACCCACTTGAAAAACTTTGTTACACTGGTTGATTTTGTTTGTTTTCCAGTGGTCCCCACCCAGTTTCATGGAAGATAGTTTTCCACAGGGAGGACTTAGGGGGGGAGGACGGTTTCAGGATGATTCAAGTGCATTACATTTATTGTGCAAACCTCTCTGCTAATGATAATCTGTATTTGCAGCCACTTCCCAGCTCCAGCATCACCACCTCAGCCCCACCTCAGATCATTAGGCATTAGATTCTCATAAGGAGTGTGTAACCTAGGTCCCTCACATGTGCAGTTTACAATAGGGTTCACACTCATGTGAAAATCTAATGCCACCGCTGATCTGACAGGAGGTGGCACATATGTGGTGATGCAAGCGATGGGGAGCGGTTGTAAATACAGATGAAGCTTCACTGGTTTACCGGCTAGCTGACTGCTCACCTCTTGCTGTGTGGCCTGGTTCCTGACAGGCCACAGACCGGTATTAGTCTGCTGGCAGAGATTGGGGACCACAATTTTACACTTTTAACATTTCAGAACATCTGAGTATGGGTTCAGAGGTTTTATCCTGCGCATTTCTTTATTGATTAATATTTGTTCCTTATTAGTGGGCATCTAAAAAACTTAAAACTCCTTGCAAAAACAAAACTTAGGTACTTTTTAAAAAAGAATTATTCATACTTTTTAATGACTTTGACATAAAAATATTGTATTTTTAAATCTCTTTTTAAAATCTTGAAATTAAGATATTGGTACTCTGGCTTTATTCTTTGATCACATAATTAAAGAAAATATATTTTCTGTGAAAATTATTTTTTTATATTATTTATATATGTGTGTGTATATATATATATATACATATATATATATACACACACACACACTGTTTTGTAATATCTCCCCAAATTAACTGTAACATTCTGAATTGGTAACATTGTGTGTAATAACTTGTCTTAATGTTTTTGTCTTTCTTTAGGTTGGTATTTTGTATGGCATCTTTTTTTATCAAAATTCAAGTTTCTCCGAGAACTAGTGGGAGACACAGGATCCCAGGAAGGAGATCATGAGCTTTCAGGGTCTGAAACCGAAGAAGACACTTCATCTTCTCCACACAGAATCAGATCTGCTCGCCAGAGGAGGGCACCTGCTGATGAAGGCCACTGACCCCAGGCAGAGTCCTTTGTTAGTAAATGATGAAAAGCAGTTGTTAGTCTCTCTTTAGTGACTTGGCGTGGAAATTTACTGAATGACTCATGAACATTTGTACTTGGATTTTAAGTCCAATTTAGAAAAAGATTTACATGTAAGCCATATAAAAATAAAGGGAATTAAAACCAAATTGAACCATTGCAAACTTCATCTTAAAGATAATCTTTTGCTTCACTAGCTTTCTACTTATTCCTTGGCTCTTGGGCTTATTTTCTCGCTCTGGTGCAAATCTGGTAAGCATTACAAGCTTAAAAAACCATATTTTATTAGTCCTAAAATGTATTATTTTCTTCACATTTTAACTTGTCTAAAATTGGGATGCATCTCATTACTGTCAACCAGGTGATAGTCATGTAATTAATCTACCTTGTGCATGTGTGAATTTACAGCTTGTCATAGTGTCATCACTTTAACCAACATGTGTATTGTTGGTACCAAATGTTTCAGGTTTAGTTGACATTTAAAAATGTCTTCAAAAAGATTACACTATGATTCAGCATTGAAACGAAAAGTTATTGTGTTTGCAGAAAGGCATGGAAACAGAGCAGCAGGACGTACATTTGATATTAGTGAAGCAAATTTCCACCGTTGGAGAAATGACCGCAATTTCATATTTTCTTGCAAAGCAACGACAAAATGCTTTACGGGACCTAAGAAAGGAAGATACCCACAGGTAGATGAAGCTGTACTACATTTTGTCAGTGAAACACATACAAAAGGATTGCCTATCACACGCCAAGCAGTGCAGTTGAAGGCAGGAGAAATTGCCAAAACCCTTGGAATTGATGAAACAAAATTTAAAGCAACAAGAGGCTGGTGTGACCGTTTCATGCGTCGAGCTGGACTGTCATTAAGGCATCCAACATTTTGTCCAGAGCTTCCTGCTGACGTCAAACAGAAGACAGTAGTAGAGTGCTCTTTCAAGAAATGCTGCTTCACCACTCCTCTTGACAACACCGAGGGGGGTGTTATGTGGAAGAATGCAGACATCTATGCCTGTGATTTGAAAAGTGATTCAGAAGAGTTGGACTCAGAATATGAAGTTATAGTTATAACTTAACCAATTTATTTCACACATTTTCTTTACATGTGCACAAGATTGGTGTGATAAAAGTCTGTTTAACTCTTTAAAAGTGCTGTTTTAATAGATTATATAAAATAAACATTTTCTGTGATATGAAAGCATTGTGTCATAGTTTAATGGGCAGTGTTTTTTCTTAGTGATACACATGGTGCATCTTAACAATTGATGGTATCTTAGATTAAATTAAAAAGTTTGCAAATTTGTTTTTCTTTTTAAGATAGCAGTTATTTATTGGGGACCTTAATTCTGACTCTTATAATGTTGAAATTGTTATCCTGTGTGAAATATGTTTTTTGGGGTAACCTATTTAAGATATAGTAGTAACTTAGGAATCTAAGAACTATCTTCTACTTTAGGAAGAATAAGATTAGTTACTCCCTTTGTTTGGGAGGACTTTATGCTCAAGGCATGTGTTGTGGAAAAAAATACTTCTTCACAAACAATTCGGTGATAACCTCAGAGGTACTAGGTATTGAGGAAAAAATAGTGGGCAAAAATACCCACTTAGCTATAAAATGACTCCTGCTAGGTTTCCGTGTTTGTCTTTCCTGAACTTTGGACTGTTTACTTGGGAAGAGAGATATGAATTAAAAAACTTTCTTGTTTAGTGTTACTTGTTTTGTATAAGAATGAAATGAAAAGCCAACTTTTTTTTTTTTTTTTTTTGGACAAAGTCTCACTCTGTTGCCTGGGCTAGAGTGCCGTGGCATCAACCTAGCTCATAGCAACCTCAAACTCCTGGGCTCAAGCAGTCCTTCTGCCTCAGCTTCCCAAGTAGCTGGACTACAGGCATGCGCTACCATGCCCTGGTAATTTTTTCTATATATTTTTAGTTGGCCAATTAATTTCTTCCTATTTTTAGTAGAGACGGGGTCTCGCTCTTGCTCAGGCTGGTTTTGAACTCCTGACCTTGAGCAATCCGCCCGCCTCGGCCTCCCAGAGAGCTAGGATTACAGGCGTGAGCCACCGCGCCCGGCCCCTCCAACTTATTTTTTAATCCAAGTTCTTTTTATGTTTTTACCTTGGATTTCTTAAGAACTAGTCATCACAAAATATCTAATTAACCTCTATTTTATGATGGTGTATAATTATGTTTGATACCTCATACTTCATGCTTACAGCTTTATTTGTTTATTAACAGTTCACTGGCTCTTTCCCACAGTTGTATTCCTGATGAACACCTCTTTGCTGTTACTGTAGCCTTTTGGAGATACTAAGAGGGAATTCACAGAGCATAACCTTAGTCTTATATATTTGCTAGGGGAAGATTCTCAGGTGCTGAGAGTGGGGCACAATCTTTCTGTCTTTATTTCCTTATTAGACTCAATTTTTTGTGACTCCAGGCCATAACAAAAGTGACACAGTTTCAAGCATTAATTTTATTGCTTCATAGTAGCTAAATATCACATTAAAAGGATTATCAAATTAAAAAATGAGTGCCCAAAAAGCTTCTTGGTACTGGGAGGATATTTAAGTTACATTTTTTCATAGTCTAATGTTTTGAGCTATGGATTCTGCTTTATGGAGGATATCTAAGGTTTAGATAATAGTTGCTGAAAAACTTTAAGTAGCTGGTAAGCTTCCTATTGTCATTGTTGAGGAATGATGGCTCATGTAGCCCTCCCCCCAAAATCTACAAGGGTCATGCCCAAATTAATACATATTAATCTATGTGAAGATATACATGTTGGCATTATTTATTGACATTTATGCTTCAAGCATGTCTTATTTTGTAGAATTTTAAGAAATGTTCTGTTTAACTTGAGAAATATACCTAAAGTGTACTAATAGCTCACAATTCGCCATGTTTTAACTCTCACTTGGGGAGAGTAAAGGGAAATTGATGCCAATAAGAAGATGTTCAAACTAATACTTTGTTTAAAGCTTTCTTTTCCTGCATCCTACAACACACTTACCATAGTAAGTATTTCTAAAGCCACCAAGAAAGGCAAGAGACATGGTTGTTAATGCAGAATTATTTATGTGGTATAGTATTTCCATTCTTTTCCCTGTTTTAGTGTTTTTGTAACAGCTTACCAGAACTATACCACAACTGCATTTTCAGTCTCAGTGGGAAATGGATTAACCATTGATTAATTTTAAAGTTTAAAAGGTTATAAACATTAAAAACACTTATAAGTATTAGAACCTTGTCTGAACCTCACAAGGAATGACGGTGATTAAGTATGGCATCTTTTGATGATTAATTCTAAAATTGAGGACTGTGGTAGGTTGTTTTATTTCCTTCCCAACCAGCCATTCATTCCCAAATTGTCCTTTGCCTCTAAAACTTTTTGTGAAAATTGCCTGTACCAATTGTATTGATAGCATTGCTCTGATTTAAAAGCCCCAAACACTAAATATTTGGGTAGCACTGTTAAATGAGGTGGCATTAAAGTCATTTTTTTCTTAAAAGGTATTCTTTAATGTAACACGTAACCAATGTAACTTTTGACTTTGGCTGGTATACTTCAAGTGCTTTCATATTTGCAGTTAACTTTAAAAAGCCAAAGGGCAGTCCTCAATGGTGATAGATGCTCACGTGACCTAATGGAATAGTTTTCTATTATGGAGTCTAGAATTAAAGCACCTTTTGTCTGCTTCTAAAGAGTGAGTTTCGTATTGTTTTTAATTTAAAGCATAAAGAGTAACATTTTATCTTATATTAATAAAAGTTACATCTTCCATTTGTTAGTGTACATGTGCTACCTGTTTTATGAGGAATGTTTAACATTACTCTCCAAGTCAGTTCTGTGCATAACCATTCACTAAATACTGCTGCTGTGTTTCTTAGAGGAAACATTCTGTGTTGTGCTGTGATGCATTGTCATCTTGCTGCTTGACAATAAATTTATAAGGAATTAGAATTATGCGTTTTAATAATGCCTTTGTATAACAAGATGTAAAATTAGATGAGGAATGTGTGTAAATGATCATTCACTGTTTTGTTTTAAAACTGGTCAATACTATATCTAAAGCTTCTGTGGTTTGTATGATGTTTTAACTTTCACTTTAAATTGCACAGAATAAAATGAAAACAAAAGTCGTGTGTGTCTCATTGCTAAAAGACTAGTATGAAGGGTGCCTTGGACATGAAGGAATTTGAAAGCAACCATTTTTGCTAATGGTCCACACTTCAACTTAGTTTTGAAACTAAAAATCTAAGAATTGAGAGGATAGCAATATTTTTTAGTGCCATGAAAATGGTTCACTTAGAACCTAAAGGGCATATAAATAGCATTAGAGATTAATTATTACACTTAACCCTCTTTTAACCTTTTATTTTCTTCTCATATAGTATCCAGTACCCTCAAGATTGTTTTGGTATCCTATTTGCCATAGATCTTAACTCACATATTAACCACCAGGAAGATTGAGGAAGCTGAACAAAGCCAAGTAAAAAGATTGAGGAATACCCTTGAGAACTTCTTCAAGATAGAAAGCCATAATTTCAGTGGCTGGAGGCCAAAGTTGTGATTTTTTCTTTAGCTGTGCTCAGCTGCCAACAATGTAGGATGGGAAAAAGTGGATTGTGCCCAGGTTGGGTTTTAGAAGGCAGATGTGTCTGAAGGGCAAGGTCATTAGAGATTGGCTCTGGAATTTGGGCTGGGTTGTAAGAGAAGTTACATCCATAAGGCACTGGCAGAGTGGGTAAATGGAAAGGGGTAGGGATCAGAGATAAAATGGGTCTGATGTGTATAGTGGATAGAACAGGAGGTTTGGGGTGAAGACTAGGATTTTAGAGGTGAAACAGTTCTGAGCAGTGACAATAAATACAGCCATAGAAAAAGGGGGTCTGAGAACTGTGACTCATTCCAGGGTATTGTGTAGCCCCTCAGCATGGTCACTAATACTTTCCATATGATGGCTAGAGTTGGGATGGAGAAGAAGCTATGAGCTGGGGGCCAGGTCAGGGACTTGGCAGACTGATCTCAAGTTCTGGGATATCCAGTGGCTCGTGAAATAAGGGAGGAGTTTTCTAAAAGTGGAAGAGGTGTGTTCTGGGGGAGCTGTGAGAGTGCACACTCTTTATCCTGCCCCTGTCTCCTCTCCCTGCAGGCATCTCTACAAGCCAGTATGTGCATTATTATGTAAAAGTAAGTACTTCAACTGAATTATAAAAGTGATGCTATTTATGGAGAACTGGGGGAGGTTGTTGGAGGGGATGGAGGGAAGG